TAAATCCATATCGTGCTAGTACTGCCTCAACTTTTCTTGAATTACATTCATTGTTTTTTTGCAACTTGTTAGAATATAGATTACTATCTAATGCGATGTGGTTTTGTATTGGTACGTGATATCCAGAGTTTGTTTATGTGGTCATAGCATAATTACTGATATTTATCCTGTGAAGTTGTTCGAGAAGTTTGGTACGTGGAGCTCTATTGTGGCATGTCATAAATTCCTTACATGAGGGTGAGTAAAAGCAGAAATAGGAGTTAAAAAGGCAGTTAGATCACATGGATGAATTGACTAGGTGTAGTCAACATTTTATAACTCAGTACTGTGATTGGACCGGACCTATCAGGAACTGTAAGACTCGTGCCAGTAGGTAATTATATTTTACAACATCCAGTATGCTATATGTATCATTTTGGCATTTTAACATATTACTATATTTACTTACTAGTACGAAACCCGTGTACCACACGGGTGTTTGATAAAATAATTAAATGTACAACAAAAAATGAAAGATAAAAGTGTTTATTTATTTTATTCAAGTTAGAAAAATAAATATATAACTACTTATTATAAAGAACTAATGAATTTACAATATTATTTTAAATTCCGAAAACTAATTTATATACATAATATTCAGAAAACTAATTATATACGATATCAGTAGTTTTAGTTTAATATTTTTATTCAAAACGCAGAAGATAATAGTATGGACGGAGGACAAAATTTGGACAGTGAGATAATATTCACATTATAGAAAAAAAAGAAGATTTATATGGAATGGTTTAAATATATCACATATGTGTATTTATGGTAATCTTAGCCTAACATATTTGGTATAAAAAAATAGTAAGTTTTTCTGCGCTAAGATTACGAAGCATGTGAAGCTGCCACTTAGGCCCAACACGTGCTGAATTATTTATAAGGGGGATGAGTAGAGGAAAGATGTGCGAACCGAATAGGTCCTATTATTCTTCACATGCTCTATATGAACTTTATGTGCCTTCTGAGTTTATTGATTTAAATTTATGTGTTTGTAGTGGCATACTTCATTATGCATTGGGCATCAGGAACTGGTGTCTGATCTTGACCTAAATGTCAACAGGCTTAGTCTTTAGTCAGTATCTGCTCAGCGGACTGGTCCCGTCTGTCAAAGAGGTCAATGATGAGGAGCCATTATTTCCAGCCTTTCCCCTTTTGATTCTAAAGCGCACATCCGAAGTAGGTCCTTTTGTTTATTTCAGTTTATTCTTCTATGCATAGTGTGAAAATAGATTGCAGCTCTATATTGTATAGTTAATGTGATTTAATAGCATTAGTCAACAGTAAGAAGTTACCAATCCAATTAGGTTATGGTTGGTTATAACTAAAACTGAGTAGTTTCATTATCAATAGCTAGAGTGACATAGCATTAACTTGTACTGAAGTGTACATTCGAAATTCATTTTGCAGTGCACTAAAATCAGAAGAAAACATATGCTTCATCAGTATTGCTCATCTGTGTTTATCGACATACTCGAAACACTTCCTCTGGAAATATCTACGTAATATGCTGTAAATATGTGAAGAAATGCAAAAGCCGATGGTTCTTTGGTTTCGAGTTTTAGATTTAGTGAATACCGTGATCAACTTGAGCTAAAAATAGCATTACAAATGGAAGGATATAATGCCCAATAAGATTATGAAATTTTGAGGTTCATTTAGTAGCATTAATGCAATATTGTGGATTCTCATCCAATATGTGCAGAAGATGTCGTTCTTTATACCATTCACCAATTCAGGTTTCCAAACTTCTTATACACAAGTTTCTGAAAACCAGACAACTATAGGCTAATTGGTTCATCCCTATAGCCGAAATGGTGGCAATTAATGTATAACTTCAAGTATAAGACATTTTAGA